CTTTCTCTTCTTCGCGCCTGCTCCCCGGCCTTCCCTCTCAGCCTGTCTGGCATCCATCCGTCGCTGCCTGTCCTCAGCTCGAGCCCTCTCGTCCAATATCCCCTGATATTTCTCCACCCAGCGAGGCTTCGTCAACCTATCCACCAGCCTCATATCCCTCACCTGGATGGTCACCCTCTTCGAGTGGATCGCCACTTCGTTTGTGCTCTCGAAGTTGGCGACCAGGTAAGCCTCCGCAGCCTCCATCAAAGCACGCACAACCGTCATCTGGAACCTTAGGCCCTTATTAGGGGTAATGTCCTTTTCCACCACCTCGCGGACGACGCGCAAGAAGGGTCTGAAAGGGATACAAAGGTCGGTGGATCGTTGCAGCTTCCTGATCTCTGTCAAAGCTGCCATCCCGGGATGTCTGCGGCGTCTGTGGACCCGTGCAGGTGCATCTGCATTGTTACCGGTCTGTGGCACAGGCTGGGGGTTGTTCTTTTGCTTGTCACCAGCCGTCTTCCCCCTCCACGGCCTCGACACAACCGCCTTCACCTTCCTCGGGCTGTGGGACATCGCTGTCTTGCTGGGCCGGGCCACGTCACCCTGCGCTGCAGAGCACCCTGCAACTCGCTCACCGCCACATGGGCCCTCCACCTCAGCAGACAAACCGTCCTGATGTCCCGGGCGCGTCCCCTCCGTCTGTCCCGGCCTTCGATGCCCACCTCGGGTGTCCTCGGCCACCATATACCGAATGTCTCGCAGGAGGCCATCCGAGTACGTCAGCAGAAACGGCACACCAAGCGGGTCCCTGAACCTCATCATCATCTCTCCACCTTGCTCGTATGTCATGCGACATACGGCCGGGACCCAACCAACAAGGGCGGAGCAACCATGCCTGCGGCGGATGTGAGCCATGTACCTGTTCTCGCCATCGCCCTGCCCTTGCCCACCAGGACTTCCCTCAACCATGGACCACATCCCCTGGTCTGGCATGGAGTCATAACCCATGCACACCATCTAACGGTCCTCCTCCCTTATCTTCTCCCAGCATCGCTTTGCATGTTCCACAACCAGCACGTGGTCCTTCACATCTGTATTGAAAATGGAGACACGTGCCACTACCACCAGGAACTGCCACTGCTCCACCATGCCTGCATGCATCCACCCCAAGGGCAGCCAATGGCCTGTCTGCAGTTTCGCTGCCATGGTCACCTTGCCATCAACTATTGCCGGCTGCAGACATCCTAGGACCCAATTGACACGATATCCATACTTCTGAGGGGCCACATGCTGCTGCAACTGCCCCTCAGGGATGACATGGGCCGCAATGTCTATGGCAGTCAGAACATCAGGGTTCAGGTTGAATGGGTCCCATACCAGCGTGGTTATTCCATCAGCAGTAGCGTCCTCCCCTCTGGCATGCGTGTATGTGTATCCATAGTCACCCGCGAACACTTTCCCCTCTGCCACCTCGAGCTCCACAGGGTTCCGATGAGGCGGCGAAAAACAATGAGCAGCAGGGGTGGGACAAGCCATCGCCATCTTCTCCTCTTCAGTCACCTCCCTATTCAGGTGCCTAGATGAGAAGCTGCCGTTTATATAACACGTGGTCCATACATTCCCCATGGCATCACGCATCGGCACCTTCACACGGTCACAAAGAAGCGGGGTGTCATGTGGCACCTAACCCCACCGTGGATCCCTCCTAACATCAGTCTGTGGGCAAACCGAACTCGCTGCAGTGTCCAACCCGCCAATCACCCATGACTCTCCGCAGTCGACACTGTCGTACTCAAAATCATTGAGCCTCAACTCGCCCTTCGCGTCCAGAACATGCCACAGTTTCAACACATGCCGCGATTTGTCGTCAGCGCTCACCTCATCGTTCAACCTCAGCACTCTGTTGAAGATGATTGACAGAGTCACGCCCCTCCACGACGTCGCTTTGGGGGCGGGATATGAAACCCATTCCCCATTGACTTTGAACGCGAAGCACGGCGCTCCCCCAACGATACCCGGTTGAAGACGACCAGGCACCCAATTGATGTCATAGGGGAAGAGAGTTCCTGCTGA